GGTATTTTTTTCGGATTTTTTGGACATTTTTTTGACGGTCAAAAGAGCTGTGAAAAGTCGAGGAGGAAAGAGTAGAGAGAGAAAGTAGAGAGATAGTGTGAAGGGCAAAAACGTAATTGGGGGGGCGGTGATTAGTAAAAGGGGGGCGGTAAATAGCGATTCACTAATTTTCTAAAGTTATGGCGGAAGATCGCGCCTATATTCTGTTAAAATATTTTAATATATTATACTAATCTTATTTTCGGTCTTAATATATATATATATATCCTCCCTATATATATTATTTCCGAATGCGTTGAGCCTACGTAGCTGGTTCTGGTGTTTCGGAATCCTACTTGGTAAAGAATCATGCTTCGTAATTAGGTTTGGACAAATAATATTGATATATTAATAATTAAAATTTAGGTTTTGACATTCCATAAATATTATTTAGCTAACTTAGGTATTCTAATATCACTTGTACTAATATAACCCTTTATTTCTTTGTAATTTTACATACTGAGGCACTAAGTGACTAATATATCCGTGACTTTGATTTGTTTCCTTCAATTAGCTATTGAATTATAAATGTATTTTAAAAGTCGATAACTTTTGTACTTCATATCGGTTTTACATATATAATATATCAAAGTAATCATCTTTTGATGATCTTCAATTTGACATCCATATTGTATATATGAAAGAAATAAATTATATTTATATATTTTTTTTCCGAAACGATCGAGAAACTATTATAAATCAAAAGCGCACAAAAGTGTGAAAAAAGATACAAAGCTCCCAACGAGAGAATAAAGTGGGAGGACAGGTCAGAAAACCGACTAGAATCCCGTTAGCAACGCTAGAATAAAAACACTCGCAATTAAACTAACACACAAACAAACAACTCAAAAGACCCCAACCGGAGTAATACCCGAGTGTCGGATCCCAACAGGATAATAAATTTGACACCCGGGTGCACAGAGGCCAACGACCCAAACCTAAAACACAATCACAAACACAAACAAAACAAATACAGAAACATGAAAAACAACCTACAAAAAACAGAGCCCTCTCCCAACGATCAGACAAACCCAACCAGCAGTGGACGATCAACACAAGAAGGATCCTAGCCCGAGAATCCGCTACCGAAACTGCCTACTGCCTATACAGTAGAGGACACCGAGCCCAGAATTGATCCCAGAATCGACCCATCCTCAACCGAAAGAACCGCAACCAACCTTCACACCAGACCACCCGAACTCGACAAGCTTGAAAGAACCATGTCCCCCGCCGCCTAACACTACTAGGAAAACGGGCTCACGCAAAGGAAGAGGCGAAATTGAGACCGGACATACCTCCACTGAGTGACTCCCACAGGCGATTGAGATGAAGGCCCGAAACACCTGCAAGTCGTCGAACCGAGGGACAGCCGCTGCCAACCAAAGCCACCCTATTGCCAATTGATCGGACCACTGCCGCGGAGCATCTGAGGCGTGAACAGAGCCGCTCTTACCAGGAGAGGGCCAGGCGGTCAAGGACGACCCCTGGCCGGGAAGATGCCGTCGACGGGAGAGGCAAATCGAGCGAGCTTTGAAGAGGGGCGAATTTGGGGTAGGGTTTCGGGTTTCGGAAGCGGAAGGCTTTTTTGCTTATCGTTAAATTATATTTATATTTATAATAATAAAAAATAATAATATTTATTAAAATTCATTAGAAAAATAAAATTATTTCTCAATTGATATATTTATGCTTAATGTAGTTATATGTTGTAAGTTAAAAAAAATTATTATAATATAACACATGTAAGTTGCACAAATAAAAAGTGACATACTAAATATAAAATAATATATATATTTTTAAAAAAGGTATTTAAATTTTCAACTACTTTTTCTCATTAATTTTAAATTTTAAGAAAAAATTAGCGAACACCCGTGTAATACACGAACATTGTACTAATTTTCAAAAAATTTATATAGGTATATTGTTATACATATTAATTCTATATTTTGAATTAATAATTACTATTTAATGAAAATTTTTTATTTATAAATATTAATACATATCAGATACCCGTGCATCGCACGAGATTCGTACTAGTCTCACATAAAAAGGGATTTATATTTATCACATAACAAAGTATATATATCTCATAACATATCGTTCATATTCAAAATCTGCTACAATAAATGCACAAATTTATATATTCTACTATAAATTATATTTTGTGTATATAAATGCAATCTAAATCATCAATTCTAAAAAATATGATAAAATCTAAAAGAATCCTCCATAAATGAGAATTCCACAATTTGTGTCATTTAAATTTAAATATTACTATAAAATTATTTTTTGTGGATATAACATATATGCTAATATTAATTAATGGTTTTAATAAATATGTTAAAAAAAAAAAAAAAGAAAGAATTCTATGAGGATTCCAAATTGGCTACATAATTTATTGACTAATTTTTGCATAGAAAACAACTATCAATGTAATTAAAGAAAATCAATAATTGACTAAAACAAACACCAACTGAAATTTTAATTTTATAGAAACTATGCAATTAATGATATATTTTTTTATTTAAATAGTATTATATTATTTCCATCTAAAGTAAGTAATTAATATTCTTGCGCCGAAAAATCCCTCCCTATATATTTATTCAAAACATGTTGAGTCTAAGTAGCAGGTTCGCTCGTACGCTTCGGATGCTGACATAACGAAAATATATTGGTAATGTTGTTTATATATTCATTTTTGCTCTGAAGTTAGACTTAGTATTAGACATAAATAACTTTTTTCTGACTTGGTAAGTGTGAATTTAATTTTGTTAGTTTTTTTCTTTTAGTATATATTTCCTTCTTAGTTTGGGCAAGAAGTAATCTTACCAAAAATTACAATTTTCTCCTATCTCTCTCCTAAATTATGATTTACAAAACACTTTTTGCAGTGTCTATTCCTCTTTTTTCTATCAATTAGTCTATCAAAATCTTTAAATTAAAAATTTATTTTAACAATAAATTTTTTCATATATTTCTTAACTCAACACCCGTGTAGTACACGTGTATTGTACTAGTATTTTTTTAAAAGTGAATCAACCTTATTGTTATTTTAATATATATAGATGGGTAAATATAGAAACATATATAGCAAAATCAAACAAGGATGAAAACAATATTATTTCGCTATATATAATTGCTAGCTAAACATTAAATTTTACTTATGTGGCAACTTTCCTAACACAAAATCCGTTACAATCCATTATTATTATTATTATTATTATTATTATTATTATTATTATTATTATTATTATTATTATTATTATTATTATTATTATGGTAAAATATTTTCTTGCATTTTTTTTAGGTTAATTAAGACAAAAATCATTATATTTTATATGTACACAATTAACTTATAATTTAATAATATGTATACAATTAACTCATACTACTTTAGGGTGGCCTCCTGCATGACCATAATGGGAGATTCGTCGGTGGTTTCATCATGAACATATGTTTTAGCTCCATTATAGGAACGAAGATATGGGGGTTGCTGCAAGGCTTGATACTTGCGTGGGAGCTAGGGTACCGCCAAGTTCTGGCCGATGTTGATAGCAAGGCGGCGGTAGAAATGGTGAATGGGCAGGCTGTTGAGGAGGGAGCCCACAATTGCCTAGTTCGTGCTATTAAGGAGTTGCTAAGCCGGGAATGTATTGTTGAAATTAGTCATGTTTACGAGAATCAAACTTCTCGGCGGATTATTTGGCTGCACGAGCGACTACTAGTCCTGGAGGATTACAACGCCTCGAGTTCACACCAGCTGGCTGAAGCCATGGTTGGAACACGACTTTGTTGCATTGGCATACCCACGCAGGATAGCTCTTAAGCTTCCTCTTCCATCTTTAGTACCAAAAAATAAAAAATAAAATAAAAAATAAAAAATAAAAAACTCATACTACTCTACATATGTGCAAATGCACATAGTTACTATCTAAACTTTCTCATGAGAATGGTTTAAAGATAGAAACTGTCTAAACTTTCTCATTAGAATGGTTTAAAGATAGAAACGGATATAGCGAAATCAAAACAAGCAAGTTAACACATATCTTTATTGAAGTGCCAAGACCACCATGATCAACACGGTTATCTATAGAGGTCACAAGGCTTCCATCTCAAAGGAGGAAAAAAAAAAAAAAAAAAAAAAGTTACAAAAACGAAAAGAACAAGAAGAGACAAACCTATTCAAAGGTTGTTTCTTTTTATTCAATACCATAATCATATAGATTTTATTGCAGATAAATCCATGACATGACTATGTTCAAGGATTATTTTTTCCAATAATGTAAGCATCCAAATCCTGGAAATTCTTGATTGCGAAGTCCCTAATGAGATCCGGACTCGGGACTTCCTCCCTCGCCTTATCAAACTCGCACCACCATTTAACAATGCTCCCCTCTCCCTTAGCCCCCACGCTCAGGCCAGCCTTGAAGTTTTTGTAGTAATTCAACACATCTCCCTCGATCACGCTGTAGCTTAGGCTTTTGCTCCCCTCGTCCACTTTCTCGATCTTCTCTTTCGCCGGTTTAGTGATATCCGGCAGTCCTGCATGTACATACAATCAAATCACAATTTTATCTAGTAAAATTTGTAACTGTAGAAAATATGACAAAAATGTATTTTTAGTCATTTGGGTTTAACGTCATAGCAATTTTAGTGTCCAAGGTTCCAACTTTTCGCATTTTTGTCATGTAGTTTAATATTTTGCTGCAATTTAAGTCATATAAGGACCGAAATTGTAATAAAATTTTAAATAACATGATTGAAATTGCAACATAATTTTTCCGAGGGAATAAAGGGTGGCGCCGGCCCAAGAGTTTAAATTACAGGATGAAACTGCTAATCGAAAATACGTGAATTTAGAAATTCGTTGCAATATCAGTACTCAAAGGACTAATAGCAAAATATGAAATTACAGGACCAGAAGGAAAAATATTGGAGTCTTATGACTAAAATTGTTATGACGTTAAATCAAGAGGATTAAAAATACAATTTTGCCTAAAAATATCCATCAAAGTTAAAGCTATATTTTATAATAGAGCAAACACAAATTGTAAATTTAGTCTGTATGTTCACTACCTTAGCTTTTTCGTCCTCTTCAGATTGCATTTTTTATTTTCGTCCCATATATTAGAAAAAAAATGTTACAAATAAAAAAAGTTACAAAAAGGTTATTTTCACAACAAAAAGATCCTTTATGTTCTGAAAAAAAAAAAATATATATATATATGTTTCAATTTCGTCCCTAATATATGAAAAAAAAATTGCAATATTTTTGCTAACATACAATACGAAAATATAAAAAACGCAATTTGAAGAGGACGAAAAAAGTGAAACATACATGACTAAAATTGCAATTTACTATTTTATAATATTGCCCAACAACTAGAAAAGAAAAGAAAAAAAAAAGTTGACTATAAATGAATGAACCTGGTTGATAGGTAACGAGACGAACAGAGCCAGCAGATTTGCCATCGCCTTCAAGAACCTGAATGCTCTTGTAGTGATGAGGCAGTGCCTTCGGGAAAACCTCAGTCGACTCTCTTATGTTGTCCCAGACCTTCCCCACATCGGATTTCATCTCAACCTCGACCTCGACCTTCGACGCCATTACTCTAATTGTTAATTATTATTATTATTAGATTTTTATCAATTTTGCTCAGCTTGCAAATTGTGTATTGTGTTGTGTTGTGACTTGTGAGAGCGATGGGAGTGACATTTTAAGGCCATATATATAGTCCTAAAAGGCTTTACATTTCCCCTTATTTTTCAACTTCCATGAGAGCTACCTCCTCTGCTTTTGCCACACATCACGTAAAAGTTCAACACTTAATGAGCTAACAATGTTTGGTACGTAGAATTAGTGTAATAACTATAATAGTAGGAGGGTTGGCACTTTTGGATTAGGTTAGCTAGCATAAAACCGCTTCCGTCACATTATCCTTACTCAAATTGTTATTATATTTTTTTTTTTTTGGTACAGAGACATTCCGATTTCCGGATCCACAGGGGAACCGACTAATTCGGAATCGAGCCGGGTAGGACCACAAGGGCGGCAAAGCTCTCCTTCAAGAGTTTTAACACTGCTGCATTCCCAGGGCTCGAACTCGAGACCACTGGTTAAGCTGAAAGAGACTCAAGTCATCTCATCCAAGCGCTCTTGGGTTGTTATTATATTTTCAATTCAAAACTAAATATAACGATAAGAAGCACGCTTTGATGTATTAAAGGAATACAATATGCGCGATATAGCACCACTATCAGCTCGGTGGGTCTGTTGAAACTTGAAAATAGGGTTGCAAACGAGCCGAGTCGAGTTGAGCATTGGCCTTATCGAGTAGAATTGTTTTGATTTTTTTAGCTGCTGGAGCTCGAGATTGAGCTCGACTCGATAAAAAATTACAATAACTCGAGCTCGTCTTGAGTTCGGCTCGATAATTTTTAAATGGAAAGTAAAATCACCATTAAGCACCTATATTATCTTCGCTTTATTGTCTCATAGTTTAACGCATATTTATTTCGCACTTGGTCAATTAACTTCTTCTTATTGTCGCATAGTTCATTGCATATTTTTTTTGAACTTTCTCATTAACAAATTTTTGTTTCATAGTCACATAAATAAATCGCACTTGGCTAATAATCTTCGTCTGTCTGTCGTATGGTTTATCGCATAATTTGTTTTGCACTTTATCATATCTTCGCCTAACCGTCGCATATATCGCATATTATGTTTCGTAATGTATCAATTAACTTCATCTTTCTATCACATAAGATTTTTTGCACTTAATCAACAATCTTCGCTTTTATGTCGCATGGTTATCGCATAATTTGTTTTGCACTTTATCATTTATATTTTCATTTATGCAGCATAGTTTATCGCATAGTATTACCGCATGTTATCAATCATCTTCGCCTTTCTGTCGCATAGTTTAACGCATAAATCACACTTTATCAATTATTTTTTCCTTTATGTCGCATATCATATTTCGTTTCGCAATCTCCCAATATCGTCTTTTTGTCTCATAGTTCATTGAATAATTTGATCCGCACTTTTTCAATTATTTTTGTCTAGCTTGTTGTCACATAGTTTATCGCATAAGCTTTTTCGCTCTTTTCAATATTTTTCGTATGTCTGGCGCATAATTTATCGCATAAATATTTTTCGCGTTATCACTCATTTTCGTATGTCTGTCGCATAGCTCATCGCATAATTTGATTCGCACTTTATCAAATATTTTCGTCTGACTGTCGCATAGTTAATCGCATAAATATATGGTACTTATCAATTACTTTCGTCTATTGTCGCATAATTTATTTCACGTTTTGCGAAATAAAAAAAGTTAACTTATTATTTAGAAGTGTGAAAAACATATCAGGATGAAAATAACTATTTTCTCCCGTGGTCTATTCTCTCCTTCAAAAGTTGTTACACCCAACTTTTTTGAAATCTTGACTTTTTGGACCCGTAAGCTAATTGAATTCTCCATTTATCGCACAACTTTTTCGTCAAACAGATCAAAATATGGCATTTTCTCAGTTTTTTCAACGCCTACATCATAATAAAATTTCCACTCCATTTTTTTTTTATCTTCTTCTCTTTCTCAACATAAGTAATCATCGAATTCAAAATTCTAGTTCAAATGAGGTGCAATTAATAATCTCTGTTGGCCGTTAGGCCATTAATACAATGCACCAACATTCGTTTACAATAAATATAAATACAGATGGTAGATACTGATTTTAAATGCTATATATAGGTTTGGTGCTAGAAGTTTTTTTTT